TCTACTGCACCATGACGTCGGCAGCCTCACCATTCCCATTAGCCGAACGCTCATCGGCGTCCTGCAAGCCAAGAGGTAACGCGGGAGGGATATCCTTTTGAGCAGCTCGAGCCTTAGTCTCTGCCCACTGCCGTAAACGCACCAGGCTCCTCATGCGGGATTCTCCATGAGCTCCCATGCTGGTGAGTATTGCCTCATTGACCTTGCTGGCAACATTGCGACGAAGCGAAGGTTCAAGTAGCTCATTCAGCTCCTTCTGTAGTGTCCCGGGGGTGGCAGGAAGGAAGATGAGTAACGACATGGTAAGTTCAAGGTCTTTCAAGAAATCATTGTTCGTAGCTGCGCGGGGAGCGAGCTGAGACGAAGCGAAATTAAGCGCGGGTGTGATATCGGAGGTGGAAGACGATGTGCATGCGCGAATGAGCTCAATGAGCTGCAGTCGCAGCAGTGCAAAGTGCAAAGATGGGTCTGTATCTAAGATCTGACTCAAGAATTAGCAAAGCTCAGACAAAGTTATGCAATATGAGTAGATGTAGTTGCTTGCAATCATACTGAGGACTGAAGGTTTGATTATCATCAAAGAGATTCTGCGTGGTGCATGAAACTGGATATAATCCTGCAAGATAAGAAACGAGTGAGCAAGGAATGCATACCTGAGGGTTCAGATCATTGATCTTGGTAATGGCATTATCAATATCGCCAGCATGGATAGACCGACGTATTTCTACGCGGGACTGAATGGACTCCTCCTCAAGAGGCAGCTGGATGTTGGCTTCCTTGGCAAACTTTTCAGCAGCTCTAGGATAGCCTTCGCTAACCAGGTAGTCCATGATGACGAAGTTGATATCCCTGTAGCAGAGTTGTTAGCTTTGCGATCCAGTAGCACATGTTGTATTGCGCAAAGCAGCAGCTACTGCAAGATCAGAGATACAAGTTAACATGTTCTCCACACGTTGTTTCGGAGAGATTCCCAACTTATTTTGAAATCATCATGTGGGACAGCAGCTGCGGCGACGCGGAAGGGTAGTAACTTACGTCTTAGACGGCTTGATGTCATCAATCTTCCTCTGGAAAGGATGCTGCGTTGGCGTAGCCGCCGACACAGATACTGTGGATGAGCTCTGCATGATTGTTAGAGGGTGGGGAGATTTGCGACAGCAGTGCGTTGGAGCTTACCATGGTGAAGCGAGGCGCTCAGCAAACCTCAGCCGACGTCCATCAGCGAAAGATAGAGCTGCCCGACCGTTGGTCGAGTGTGCTGGCAGTCACGCAAAGCTTGGTGCGTGATGAGAGAAAGTTTGTGAGTTCAGGTTCGTGGAAGAGAAAGACTGAGCTTGCGCGCTTGGCGACACTAGTGCATGTGGGTCACCTTACGTAATCCTGACACTAAGTACAGAGCCGCCCGCTGCACAAACCCGATTGTGCTGGAACCCTGCATACGCTCGATATCTTTCAATCTTGCTACGAGAGGTGCGAATTGGTAGGGTATGAAGTAGCAGAAGCACGGTTTCACTTGGAAAATTAAAGATATCGCAAACATGTCCTCGGCAGGCCGCAGAACGCACTACGAACCGCCATGGGGCAACGCGAGTATTATTGGTGTAGCTGGCAGCTCGGGATCTGGAAAAACATCTCTGGCAATGGCTATCGTGGCGTCTCTGAACTTGCCATGGGTTGTCATCCTGTCTATGGTTCGTACCAGCCTCGCACAGTGGGTCACGTGCTCCAATCAGCTAAGGACCACTGCATGTAGGATTCGTTCTACAAGCCCTTGACACCAGAGCAATCTGCAGCGGCTTTCCGAAACGAGTTTGACTTCGATTCGCCAGACGCTATAGACTTCGATATCCTGGTCGAGCGCCTGAAAGACATCAAGAACGGCAAAGTGGCTGAAGTTCCCATATACTCCTTCCAGAAGCACGCCCGCCTTTCCAAGACGACGACAATCTACTCTCCCCACGTCATAATCCTGGAAGGTATCTTCGCTTTGCATGATCAACGCGTGCTCGATCTCTTGGATCTCAAGATTTTTGCCGAAGCCGATGCCGACCTGTGTCTCTCGCGACGTCTCGTGCGGGATGTGAAAGAACGTGGCCGAGACATTGAAGGATGCATCAAACAATGGTTCTCCTTTGTAAAGCCCAACTTCTACAAATATGTTGCCCCACAAAGGGAGATTGCTGATCTTATCATTCCAAGAGGTATCGAGAACAAGGTCGCAATCACCATGGTGAGCAATCAGGTTCGGCAGACGCTAGAGAGTAAGAGCATACAACATCAGACGGAGCTAAGACGACTGGGAAAGATAGCGGAAGATAGTCCTTTGAGTGGGAATGCTATCGTGCTGAAGCAGACGAATCAGGTCAAGGGGATGCATACCCTGTTGCTGAACCCAAGCACACCGAAAGAGGACTTTGTGTTCTACTTTGACCGCATGGTGGCGCTTTTGATAGAAACCGCTGCGGATTTCTTGCCTTTCACGCCGCATGAGGTCACTACACCTCAGGACTACAAGTACCAGGGGCTAAAGAAGGTTGCAGAAGTTAGTGCTGTTGTGGTGCTACGTGGTGGAAGTGCATTCGAAACGGGCCTTCGACGGACGATTCCAGACTGCAGGACTGGCAGGGTTTTGATCCAAACAAACTTCAGGACTGGGGAGCCAGAGCTGCACTACCGAGCCCTTCCTGCAAACATTGCCGAGCATGGGCTTGTCTTGGTTCTGGATCCGCAGTTCTCTACAGGGGCGGCCGCACTGATGGCAGTCAGGGTACTGGTCGACCATGGCGTACCCGAGAGCAAGATCGTCTTCGTGACGTACACAGCAGGTCGTGTCGGACTCAACAGGGTGTTGAGCGTATTCCCGGACATTAAGATTGTGGTTGCAAGGCTGGGTAACGATGAGGAGGCGCGATGGATCGAGACGAAGTATCTGGGGTGCTGATACGGGAGCGCACATCACGAATTACGCAAGTTACAGCGGGCTGGTTGAGACTGCAAACGATCTTCACTATATGATTTGATTTCACGCTCGACTGTATATAACCAATATACTCTTGTCCGAACGCCGTGCCTCTTGCCAACGCCGATAAACGCAGGTTCGCGCCGAACCAGTAATGCATCGCTATGTTCGTTGGGTATCATAGGAAGTACTCCGTTGTAACCTCCTTTCCTTGTTGTTGCTGCTGCTCTGCCCGGTGAACATCGTTGTCAGGGCTCGCATCGAAGACATTAAAGAAGCGTTCGCCGGTGTCGCTGACCTCCAGTACACTCGCCATGTTGCCACACCGATAGCAGTAATTGGGCGCACTCCAGACCGTGCTGAGCCTGTCATCGTACAGGACTTGGTACCCTTCTTGACATAGCTGGTGTGCGCGTAGAATATGCGACATGGAGTTGACCTCGAGGAACTTTTTGACTACTTGTGCTCCAAATGTATAGCCTGCACCCCTCGGGCTAAGCGAGAACTCGTCCCGTTCAGGATCGGGGTCGCTCCAAACCAGGTCCGCCATGGGCCCCTCGTGCGGGATTTCTCGAAAACGGTCTATGATTTTAATTTGGTCGATGGAGTGAATCGACGGTGACAAGCCGCCGTGTACGCAGAAGATCTGGTCGTTGATGACGACGGATAGAGTGAGGAAGTCGAACATGTCGGTGAAATAGTGCCATACGTTCGCATTGCCGTACTTGCGCGAGCATTCGGTATAGAAGCCATAAGATTGGGTGACTCCGCGAGATTCGTGGTTGCCGCGTATGAGGTGAACTCGGTGTGGATAGCGGAGCTTCAAGCATACAAGGAGTGATATTGTTTCAACGGAGAAAAGACCACGATCGACGTAGTCGCCTAGCACACGTCAGCGTCGTGAACCGGGGTCGCGTGCCACATGTGGCCAATGAAGCAGAACATACCCAGGAAAAGGTAGTTGGTATCAGGACATGGTCCGCCAATCTTGAATATCTCCATCATATCAAAAAACTGCCCGTGAATGTCACCCACGACAGTGACGGGCGCTCTGATATGCACGACATTGCTCTCCTTCATGAGCAGCTCCTTGGTCTTTGCGCATATTGCCTCGACAACCGACTCGGCGAGCAGTTCTTTCTTCGACAGGCGCGATATGCATTCATCGAGGTCTACGGTAGCTGCCAAAATGTCAGCACAGCCATGTACACAGTGCGCAGGTGGCGTCGGCGACTGACGTACACGGTAGACCGGGCATGGTGGTGTTTGTGGCGTTGGCGTGGGCGTGGGAGCATCCGCGGCGCAGCTCAGGGTATTGAGTCTATACTGGTCGCTAACAGATGTCTATATCGTACAATCATCCTCGGGGGCGCATCGAGGGTCGGAATACGGGCGATGGCGCAAACGCGAGCAACATGGGAATGGGGGGGCAATGTGTGCTGTCGGTCTGAAATGCGGCGGCATCCCGCACATGTCTTGGCCCGAGCGCAAAACGTGACTACGCTCCAAACTTCATTTCAACGCGACGTCCGTCTATCAGACTTAGACATAGGTTGCGCACTCGATTTCTTTGCCTGTCACATCTCTGCTCCTGCTGCATCTACTTTGACCCTGTTGTTCCGAGGATACCCTTCTGCACTCTTCCCAATTCGCCATCTGCATCCTGTTGTGCTCTCAATAGCAACTTCCAAGGGTTTTCCTCACATCAGCCTGGCTTGTTTCACCCTTCCATCAACTCAATTCCGTCTTTCCCAACGTCATAGTCTCGCCCTCAAACAGTCAACTTTCACGTGTTACCTGGGCATATTGAGTTGCAGACCCCTCTATGAGCTTGGGCTTCTCTTTCGTCCTGGCTCGTGCGCTCAACCAGACCAAATTTTGAGACGCGCACCTCGCCGGCTCGCACTTCGAGATCTCTTGCCAACATCGAGTTCAACTGCATCACCATTTTCAAGCAATTCATCGGCTCGCATTAGTGCTGGTCTGATATTGCTCGTCTTGCGCGTCTTGTGCATCGATCAGGTAAATTGCTTTAGGTGGTATGTCGTGGAGCGGGCCCGTGACGGGTGCGACGCCTTTCCAGCAACAACCATATGCCAACGGTCAGCCATATGGACAGCAGCCACCCTATCAATACGGACAGCAGCCAGCACAGCAGCCAGGATACGGGCAGTATCAGTCAGGAGCAGCCTATCCGCCAAACGGTCCACCCCATAGGGCTCATGTTCAGTAGGTCGCCTCTATCCTACCACTTACCCTCAGCTTGCATCTTGCAAAATGCGAAGTTACAGTTTGTAGCTCCGTGGAATCATCTCCTGACACATGCATAGGCCGCCAAAGAAAAAGGGGAATCCCATAATCACCCGGTACCCTCCTCCCCCAGGTTACCGTGGACCGGCGCAACCTCAGGGTACTTTTGGCTCCAATCAGTTTCCCAATCAATACCAACCGCCACAGCCAGCGTTTTCACAGACACAGGCAGCACTCCCAAACTATCCACAGCAAGGTTATACTGCTTCTGCTGCGCACCAGAACTATCCTGCTCAAGGTTATAGTCAGCCACCGCCGCAAGCGTCCAACTATTCACAATCCTCATATGCACAAGCACAACCTAATTACCAATGGCCGCAACCTGGCTACTTGTCAAATTCGGGCTACTCGCAGCCTCCAAACCAACCTCCCGCGCAGCCCCATGCACCACCTCAGAGCCATTATCAAGGCTATCAGCCCCATCATCCCGCTGCTAACCCTAACCAGCAGGCTTATGGCCAGAATTCGGCGTGGTCGCAACAGCATGCTCAGTCTACGCCAGATCCTCACGCCACACCAACCCAGGCGACTATTCACCTCAATACAGCTCATCCTCTTCCATCATCTAACCAGTCAACCAGTGCCGTAAGTGAGGGAAGTTCGAGCGAGAAGCCACAGCTTTACCTTGCCTGGGATGATTGGGATTTCGACTTTGATGGTGCGATATGGCCCAAGAGCAATGAACCTGTCGATCCGGCGTTGAGTCTCGGTGTCATTATCTGGCATCCCGCCAAGCAGGTGACACGTGCGTTACCCTCGACTTTCGCCGAGGCTGAAGCAGAAGCTCTGAAACCCACGCCTGAGAAACTGGACAATGGAGATTCAGTGTCCATGTACTTTACCGCTGACAACTCGCATGAGGCTTTCCTGAACGTCAGACAGACGGATGAATGGGAGATACTCAAGGACGACCCAGTCTTTGTCGAGTTTACAGACGAGGAAATGAGATCAAACCTGGTCTCGTTAGAGGATTGTATTGCGCAGCGAGACCGTCCCGACGAATCATACGAGGAGACACGACAAGATGAGGATCTAGAGATGCGCGATGCTACGTGGGACATTATGGATAACCTTGAGCAAGCACTCGCTACTAACAACGGTGCCGCAAAACCCGCTGCTATGAAATCTGAAACAGCTTCTGCTCAACAGCTAAGCCAGGAAGACATTCTCGCCAAGTTAGGCGTGACCGGAACTCCCAAGCCGCCATCGAATGATCCCATCTCATTGCCGTTATCAGCCTCTGATGCGAAGCCTCCGGCATCGCTTCCCGGGAAGCCATTGCTGGCCCCTTCTCCCGCAAAGACCACTGAGTCTGTTCTTCCACCACAGCGTGCGCATTCTTTTGGAGGGCACCGTAACAGTGGACATGGACCTCCTCCTCCTCGGCCTTATGGCTCCCTGTCGTCTTCCGCCAACTCCAGGCCTCATCCGCCACCGCCACCTCCCGAAGAACAGCGCTACGACCCTTGGAATGCACCTCAGCGTAGTGGTCATAGCCTTGATGATTCCAGGGGCAGCCCAGCACCCTCCGAAGGAAGCAATCGTACCATGGCAGGGTCTGATTTTGAACCTGAAAACCCCAGCAGCGGGACACAGCAGGACACGCCAACTGTACCCTCACTTGACCGAGGCGACAGCTCCTTCTCCCGGAAGAGGAGCTATGAAGATGCAGAGAATGAGCGTTTGCGGCAGCAAGAGGATCACAGCAAACGGAAGAGGCGCTCTCAGGTAGACGCCGCATATAGGTAGGCTTCTTTCTGTCCCTTCAATATTCTTCGGTTGCTTCACAGATTCTTACTAGGCACAGTCGCCGTTGAACAGCTAAATGTACGTCGGCACATCCACTGCTCCCTGAGCTCCGTACTCTCGATACATGGGTACCGATCATTGCGACTTCCGATCCGCCGACTTGGAACTTGCCTCCTCAGTATCTTAACCTCGGCCAACGATCTCCTTATGAGTCGGGAGCATCCGTTGATCTCAACATGTCTGCATGTTGAGAATTTTCAAACTCCGTCATTTGTTGTCTTGCGATTACATTCTTATATCAACAGGCGCAAAATAATTGCGGCCTCATTCTCCGATTTACACTACACTTCCATGAGTCTGGATGGGTGTCTTATGGGTATGGCGTCATTTAATGCTCTGTGTTCATTTGACAGGTTGCACATCATGTCCTTTTCTCCTCATTTTCTACTCCCGACGTACTGCGTTCTTGTCATCTTCACCGATATTTATATTAATCTCATTTGACTTTTATCCCCGCACAGTTGGCGCATTGATTCGCCTTGAAACATATTTTTTCCTCGCTTCGTCGCCATATTCTTCGTCACCAACCAAGCATGATCTTTACGTCTACAAGTCTTGTTTCTCTGTTGCTTGATCCTCTTTTTCGCTTTACCCTTGTAGGTCGTGGTTTGACTGCGCGATCTAGCAAGACTGTGCAGTTGTGCATACAGTAAGTATCTGTTCGATACTAGGCGCTTGAAACCAAGCGATATCAGCAACAGGGCCTATTCTGCTCTAGCAATTTCGTGGACAACTGTAAAAATCTTTCGGTATGTGGCAAGTGCTAAAATCTTGAAGCGGGGTTGATAGACATGTTCGATACAAGATGCGCTGTAAGGTTCGCATGCTAGTTGACGATCCCCGACCTCCAATGTGGGGCATAGAGAAAGTTTGGGTTTGCTCCTCTCGGTATAAAATGGCAACTAGCTGTAGCAGATAGGTCGTGTGTCAGTACAGTTAATGTAGACAACGAATATAAAATTTCAGGGGTACAAAGCTGTCCTGTAAACCTGACAGATAATCACACGACATTGCCACTTGATCGATGTGACTGAGAGAACAAAGAATGGCATAGAAAGATTTCGGATTACAGGCACATGCTCTATACGTTAGCTAGCACCGGCGTGGCCGCAGTGTCCCGTGTTCCGTATTCCATGTTCCTCGGCTGCATGCGCCACAGCTCAGCCACACGGTGCGTCATCAGGTCAAGCGACTGGTACCTCTCGCTCAGGCGACACCACCACGCCAGCATAACAACTGCAACCTTGCACCTACAGCGCTTCAATTATCTCAGAAATTTACTTCGTACATCACCGTCACCATGTGCGGCTCCGACTGCTTTCTGATGCTCTTGAGCGTCCTAGTACGTTGACGCCCCCACAGCTGTGGCAGGCACCAGCTGTTCATCTGCGACCCACGGCTCCACGGCTCCAAGTACTGACACGTTGACTAGTTCCCACCTGTAGGTGTCTGGGTCAAGAAAGGACTCTGTAGCGCCGACTCTCTTATCAACCTCGCGCTCTGTTGTCTTGGTTTCCTGCCGGGTCTCCTACACGCCTGGTACGTGATCCTGCAAAACCCGGACCCATACGACGCATACCATCAAGTACCCGACCGCGAGAACGGTACAACTAGCGACGGCCGAACAACATACTATGTTATCACACATGAGCAACCGGCTGGACGACAGGCGAACTATGGCACCGTGGGTAGCCAGCCAAGCAACGGACAGTTCCCCGGACAGCAGAGTGGCGTGACAAACAGTTTTGCGCAGCCAAAGGGACACAAAGCCTCCAAGGGCACTTCGCCTGCGACTGCGCCTGCACCGCAAGGCGGCGAGGGTAGCTCGAGCCAGCCCGAAGGGCCGCCACCGACCTATGCGGATGTGATCAAGGGCGACAACAAGGTTCAAGGCCCGTAGATTATGTTGTTGAGAAGAACAGTCTCAAGAGGAGGGGGCGACAAGGTGGTGTAGTTTGTAGCAGCATGGCGTTTAAGGGCTATGGTTATCGATATCTCGAGTGGGAAGGGAACAAACACTGTATACTAGACATTACCAATGCTGAATAATATCGGTGGACCATACACCTACTAGTATCGACATGCGACGTGCTTCTTGATCATGTACTGTGTGTACATCGTCCAAACCTCAGCCCACACGTCATCGTACGGGCTGCATAGATCCTATGGCTGCAGGAACAACGGCAGACGCACCCGACTTCAAATTCCCAATCACGACTTACACCAGAATCGAGCGGCACGTAGAGGGAAAACTCCCATTCGAAATGTTACGCCACGAATCAAGTTGTCGCAGCGTGCCGCCACGTACGTCGACGCGGCATGCCCTCGGCGGTTACGCACCAATGCTACGACAACGGCCCGGCATTTCTTTTGCTCTGAGCCCGCCGTCATCCATGACCTTTGCGCAACCTGCCTAGTTGGGTAATAGACGAAGGAAAAAGCAAGAATCGTTGAAATAATTTGATGCAGACTAGGGGGTGTATTCTCAGCAAGTCCTGTGCATGATCTGTAGTCGAAGGGTTGGCGAATGCGCGCCTCTGTTGACGTGCCATATACTTGTCTCAGCCGTGCAACGGGGGCGACGGCGCGCAAGCAGAGAAAAACCAAGTGTTGTACGCTTACGATGTACACGTAAATCACTCCTAAGACTGCAGCAGTAAGATCAGCGTAGCACACGTGGTAGTAGGACACGGGGTGAAGCCTCCGACGCAGGCCATGCATTCATGAATGGAAAGCAAGGAAGGCTCAAGCCATCATCTGCTTCCCCGGATCAAGAATCGCAATGCCAGGCCTGCAGCTCGTTAATTGCCGACGACGACCAATTAAGCGTTTCGCAGTCTAGGCGCATCGTCATGCCCAGACCGCCTCTACGCCCCCCTCTTAGCCTAAGCCCCTAGCCAAGTACCTTGAGTGCATCTTGGTCCTATGTGACAAGGCTTGACTATCATGACGTGAAGCTTCGCATATCTCTGTTCTACGGAACAATCGACTGGTTTCCGAACGCAGTGATTTGTGTTTGCATGCGCGCGCTACTGAACACAGCCTTTAACAATCGCCATTAGCTTTGTTAGTCGCCCCCGTTCAACTGTGGCTGGAGCAGTCGACGCGTTTCTCATTCGTGCGAAGTGCACAACAGCCACATCTACTGACGAGTGCGTGCGCTGGCCTCCTGTTAACAGGTTTAATTACCTTGTGGCCCTTCTCCCTTTCTTCATTCATTTCACCGGTCCTTCTTTCACAAGCAATCCCATCGCCTACAATCTCCCGACCCCGAGTGCGAGCATTATCTCGCGTCTATCTCTCACCGGTTGCCTCAGGCACAACAACTTACGCGCTTGTTAGCCCAGACAGTTCTTCGCCCCCATTTCAACGGTTTCGGCCCCCAGCTACTTGTTCCGAAGCACAAGCACCTCGTTCCGAGTAACGACTACACACGCCGACCTGAAAGTCGCACTTGAGCGCGACTCTCGATTGGACTAAACCTCCACCCACCATTAAGTGGAAAAAGACGGCCCAGCTGCCGCGAAAGTAGATCAATGCGTAAGTGGATCCACATCTCCGAGGCATCAAGATCACGTAAAGTCTTAATCACCCAACAACTCGACATCTCCTGCCAAACATCAATCTTCCTCTAACGATGAACTTAGATACTGTACGAAGGCAGGCTCATCGCGTCGCATCGCAACATGGTGGGAATGGCGCAGCCAACTATAATCCGTTCGCCCGACAACGGTCGCGAGACATTAATCTAGATGAGGAGAACGCAGTATACAGAACGCGATCCGAAACACATGCTACTCCCGCTATCGAGGAGCAAAGACGGCTAGAAAGCAGGGAAGCCGGAAAGGAGTTTGGCATGCCCGACCACCACAACACCGAGCCCTCCGCATCTTCGCCAACACACGGGAGCGCATCTACGACTTTTCCAGAATCGACAACCGAGAAGGACTTGACTTCTCATTTAAATGGTACGCACAAGGCATCAGACGACAGCACAATCGTGCCTTCCAACCAAGAAAGCAATGTTGGTCCCACCCGACGAGCTAGGTTCAAGGGCATCTTCCGCAAAGACCATCAGGATGCTGAGAACGATGAGGCCGAGCATCCAGAGGCTGATGAACTTTCGTTGGAGGAACGTAAGAAGAAGGCGTTCAAGAGGAAGATTCCGGTTGGCGCACAGATCAAGTTCGTTCTCTTTGGTGCGTGGATCAACGTGCTCCTCGTCATGGTACCCGTCGGTTTCGCTGTCTATTATGCCAGGCTGAAGCCCGTCCCGGTTTTCATCATCAACTTCATCGCCATCATCCCGCTCGCGGCAATGCTGAGTAACGCGACCGAGGAGCTGGCCATTCGAGTTGGTGAGACTCTTGGTGGACTGTTGAACGCTACCTTTGGAAACGCCGTGGAATTGATTGTCTCCGTCCAAGCCCTACTCAAGAATGAGATCACCATCGTCAAGACCTCGCTTATTGGCAGCATGTTGTCGAATCTGCTGTTGGTTTTGGGCATGTCGTTCTTCCTTGGAGGAATCAACCGTCTGGAACAATTCTTCAACGTCACAGTCGCACAGACTGCAGCGTCGCTGCTTGCTCTTTGTATCGCATCGCTGATCATCCCAACTGTGTTCCACAACACCATTGCCGAGGATGACTCAGTTGCACAAAACGGTGCTGCAGATGCCATCAGGAACCAGGAGTTGTCTCACGGAACAGCCGTTATCCTCCTCTTGGTCTACGCTTGCTACCTTGGATTCCAGTTGAAGACCCACGCCACCATGTACAATGAGCCCAGTCAAAAGGTTCCTAAGCGCAAGTCTGGTAAGAAGGAAGAGGGCGACGCATCGCGTGGTATCGCAGCCATTGGTGCTGGCACTGCTGCAGCTTCTGGAGGTGGTGTCAATATGAAGTCACTCTTCAAGAACCCCGACGGATCAGATGACG